ATGAGTCATGTCACTTAGCGTAAAATTCCTCCCTGGGGAAGAGCGCTAGAGGTCAAACTGAGTTGCCTCTTGTTGGCACGAGGATAGGGCCACACAGAGGAAGTGGAAGATCGGCTAGCTTGAGAGTCTCTAATTTTTTATGAATATTCTCCGCAAGGTGGGTCGAACGACCTCAGGAAAAAAGCAGACTTTGTCTTGCTTTACTTTCAAATTGAATGCGCCGCCATTACGCTGTAGATGTTGATCTTCTTCAGTGACTCTAGTATTACTAGGCGGCGGTTCCCAGCGCATGGTCACTCTCGTGCTCCACCAATATCTCTGAAGGGTCGGACTAGAATGAGGTTTGGCTTTTGCTATCAGAACTCCCGAATCGTTCACGCTGGGCTACTGCTCCTCGGAGATTTGCTAGTACACTTCACGCAGTCCAGAACCCTGGTGAATAAGCTGGATGATCACTGTAAGGAACTAAGGGAGATCAGAAGGAACATGACGATGTCAGATCGTGTGCGGAGCTGTTTCGAGCTCAAAGCACACGAGATACAAATTAAATATTTTAAAATCGTTACAACTCTACGTAGATGTCTACATTCCATTATTTTAACAAGTCGGGCATGCTCTAGCAAAAGGCGGCTAGTTCGTCCATATTCACGCTTAGTGGCGCTGGGTAACACTGAGATTGCCAGTTGGGGTAGTTGAGTTGGGTCATCTCAACTAAAAAAGCCAACCTCTCGATAGAGTGAACTATAAGCAGACCGTGGAGTGAGGGAGCGTGCCCTTGCCTATCTGCTGGTCGATTCTCTATATTGTTGGGCGTTTGAAAGATCTTAATCAGAGTGATTAAGAAGGGAGCTCAAAAATAGGTTCCAGAAAAATTGAAATTAGCCCGAAGCAACGTCGAAATGCTAAGTAATTGCTCATGGCCCTGGGTTGTTAGAACGAAGTTATACGACCATGTGGATGCTACTTCGCAAAACATGTTTCACGCCTTCACCAATTTTCTTTGATTTTTAATAACGATAAATATAAAGTGATTCACTAATTATGGGACAACCTAATATTTAACTTAATTACTATTTTACTACTATTATATAAAAGGGCTGGTCGTGAAATGGAGTGTGCGATCCATTATTGTTTGACAAATACAAAAAATTATAAAAATTCTAAAAAAAAAATTAAAAAAGAAGTGTGAAGAGAAAAGTTGAGGGAAAAACTTCCCCATCAACTTTCTCTTGCAGATTTTCCCTGCAGATGAGCTACTGAAATGCAACTAGTGCTCGCGAAGTAACGGACCACCCATTTTGGCGTTCTGCTGAGGCATGAGACTTGAGTTGGGAGGATGGGATCCCAACTGTTGATAAACTAAGTCTTGTCCTTAAAACGCGTACAATTATCTATATCAGGACTAAGTCTTAAAAGAGGACACGACTGCTAGAGAGCGCAGGATCCCTCTCTTCAAGGCAGTCCTAAACACAACCACCCTTTTACCGGAGCTGATGAACCTAACTGCACACGTCGTCACCACTCTCCTATTCGTACTCGACCAGTTTCAATAGTTCGACCTCTGGACCCCATCCTCGCACACATCGCATACGACTCAGCAGAAACCTGAAGCTTCCGCTGCGGGGAGAAAGAACATGCGAAAAGCTTCGTAGCGCGAGGCGCAAACGCTGAGCTGAACGTCGCAGCGTTATTCCAAAACATCAAAATCCCTCTGACAATTTGCATGCTAAAGTGGACTCACCACTGCAGATTAGAGGCCTTGCTACTTCGCATTAGAGATGTTTATGAATCTAAATGGCAGACGACATGCCTCGAGCAAGAAAGCGGTGATCATTCCATTCCTTAATCTCAACACGTGTACCATAGGTAGCTCACCATTGAGAACAAGACCAGTAGGCTTAGAAACATAACTAACGAATCAAACATAATAAGTGGTTTTGATGATCCTGAATGAAGCTAAAATGCTAATATAAATAAGAACTAATTCGAAAATATCAAAAACACTCAAGAGTTCATATTTGAACTTGGTATGGAATTTTGACATTTTTAAGAGTCTTTTGAAATTTTTTGACAAATAAAATCTGTTGCCCATTTGGGTAATTCAACACTCAGATCCTAATGAAGCTCCGAGATAGCACAGTTTCAGTAGTTCAAAGTTCCCATAATATTGATTACCCTTACAATTCTGGACTTCGCCCTAATATTCTAAAAGCCTTTCTTGAGCGTTCCTACCTACTGACACCGTATTGGCCTCTCGGGTCAGAGAAATGAGGCTCATTATTGACTGTGTTCGGCGTATGAGGCACCTACATACAAGGAGAACGTTTGAACTAGCCCCATTTCCTCAATGCTGCAGTCGTTACTGTTATTTCAACTTCAGGGAATTGAGGACTCTGCGCAGTCAGGTTGAGTATGCGTTCAGCAATCCGTGTGGAGAAGACGATGTTTGGAGTTTCCCGATCCACTCTAGGCCTGGTGCATTCTGAAGTTCCGGGTTCCGTCAACGGTCGAAAATCAGGGATGCTGCCGCATTTGCCAAGGAAGCGAAGATCCCTTGGGCCGGAAACGTTATGCGATGACCGTTGAACTAGAGCGATTGACAGCTGGATCCCCCTAAAAACGCTAAGCACTATGATAATCATAGGCAAACTGTTCGCGAAAATTGCGCAAAAGTACTGTCTCGACAAAAATCGTGAGAGGACTTCGACGACAAGAACGAGTGGTGACGTTGTAGGCACTCGTTCAGCAAAGCTGACGAAAATCGGGATGACAGGAGACAGCTGATTCGTCCTCACTGATTGTCTTCCAGTAAGCTATATTTTCCAATAATACTGCCGAATATTTACCAGAAAAGGATCATAACATGAACATCGGCAGCAACTCCCTCTCTGTTCACGATGGAAAAGCAACCCATTTCAAATTAACTTAGGGATGGTGAGTGGTACACGAAAGAAGGAAAAACCATGAGAAACGGCCCAGAACCCGAGAAATGGGACCCCTTCCTTGCCCGTTGATTTCGCATTGATGCGACTCTCATCGCTGTGCCCTCTTCAACACTACGCTCTCTCTGCTATCTAATCACTCGCCACGTATAGACCTGCGGCGAGTGATTAGATAGTCGGTGGGCGGACCCCGCCAACCGCGCCAAAGTGAGCCATGCTAGGTCGCCGAGGTCAAATCTTTCGGTGATTGCGCGTCAGTCCGCACCCTCAGGTCCGCCAGTCTCTCAACTAGGTGAATTACTCCTTCTTCGACCTTCATTCTGATGGTGAATTCCTCCTTTACCGCTACTGAATCACTGGACCACTCCCACAAGGAAAAATGAAAAACGAAAAAAAGCAGTTTCTCTAGATTGTTGTAGTTTGAATATGTATTCTCACTTGTTTCTGAAGATCATTTTAAAAACACGATTTCGCTGTCGAAATATTGATATATGTCGATGTGTGAAAATGAAGATCGCTCCCATCATTCCACTGAGGAATCTGAAAGTAAAAGCGATGAGCATCGCTGATAGAAAGGCTTACATGCAAGAGGCAACT